AGACTCTGTCTCAAAATAAATAAATAAACAATAAATAAATTAGGCCAAAGCAAGCCCAGGTGCTCCCCTCCTGGCTTGTGGCTTTAAAAGCTGTCTTGAGGCCATCGTTCGCCCATGGATGAGGGTCCGGGAAGGCCGCTGATGGAGCCTGGAGGTGGGAGGCGTCCCCACTGCACAGCCACATCTGTGAACACAGCAACACACAGTGACCCTGGGGTGGTCAGGGAACCCGCTGTCACGGAGGAAGAAACCGAGGTGCACAGAGACGGTGATCATGGTGACGTGACGGCGAGGTGGTGAAGATGAAGAGACAGAGCGTGTGCTCCCAAGGCCCATCATGGCACTCACACTCGGCCTGGGATGGAGGTGGGGCAGCCTGAGACAGACAGAGCTGCCCAGGGCCTGGGGGAGCTGAGCTGTGGGCTTGCGGTGGGGAGCCCTGGCTCACATCTGGCTTCTGACTCTGGCTGCTCAGTGGTCTGGAAGCCCTGGCAGTTTCCTCCATCTAGCTACCCCACTCCTTAGGAGTGCGGGCTGGGGTACTTCGGGAGGGAGGAACCGAGCCCAGTGGTTTGGGGCAGGACCTCCTCCCATGCCCTGTCGTTGGAGTCGTCTGGCTGTCACTCCATACCCCAGGCATTCAGGTTAAGTGGTCTGGGGTCCTGAGCCTCCATGAGGCCTAACCCCCGCACCTGGTGTGACCTTGTGGGCTTACTGAGGGCATGGGTGGAGAGGACAGGCGCTGAGAGGTGGTCTGTCGGGCCAGTATTGGGCTCTGGGCCAGACAGACTCAGAGTGGCCATAGGCCAGCAGACCGAAATACCAGGGGTGCTGCCCCCTGGCTGCCACTGGAGCTCAGGACAGGCAGAGGGAAGACATGTCAGGGTCTCACTGGGGCTGCAGGAAGGCTCACCTTTCCAGCCTTGGCTGTCGGTCACAGACAAGAGTGGGCACTTCCAGGGCTAAGAGACACCTCTAAAACTCCCAGGCGAGGAGGCCACCTACTCCAGGGAGACACCTCTAAGACTCCCTACTCCAGGGTAGACGGTGTCTGCTCATTCTGGGCTTTCCGGGCAGACATTCATGATGGTGATGATAATGGTGGTGAAGTTGAAGGTGGCGTGATGGTGACGGTGAGGGTGATGTGGTGGTGGACTGATGGTGATCATGGTGACGGTGAGGGTGATGTGGTGGTGGACTGATGGTGATCATGGTGACGGTGAGGGTGATGTGGTGGTGGACTGATGGTGATCATGGTGACGGTGAGGGTGATGTGGTGGTGGACTGATGGTGATCATGGTGACGGTGAGGGTGATGTGGTGATGGACTGATGGTGATCATGGTGACGGTGAGGGTGATGTGGTGGTGGACTGATGGTGATCATGGTGATGGTGAGGGTGATGTGGTGGTGGACTGATGGTGATCATGGTGACGGTGCGGATGATGTGGTGATGGACTGATAGTGATCATGGTGACGGTGAGGGTGATGTGGTGGACTGATGGTGATCATGGTGACGGTGAGGGTGATGTGGTGATGGACTGATGGTGATCATGGTGACGGTGAGGGTGATGTGGTGGTGGACTGATGGTGATCATGGTGATGGTGAGGGTGATGTGGTGGTGGACTGATGGTGATCATGGTGACGGTGCGGATGATGTGGTGATGGACTGATAGTGATCATGGTGACGGTGAGGGTGATGTGGTGGACTGATGGTGATCATGGTGACGGTGAGGATGATGTGGTGGACTGATGGTGATCATGGTGATGGTGAGGATGATGTGGTGGACTGATGGTGATCATGGTGACGGTGAGGGTGATGTGGGGGTGGACTGATGGTGATCATGGTGACGGTGAAGATGGCTGTGATGATGGTGCCGTTGAGCGTGACGATGAGGATGGTGGTGGTAGCGGTGATAATATGGTAGTTGTGGTAGTGGTGGTGGTGATGAGGGTGGTGACACCATCGTATGTGTATAATACACTGACTGCATCAAGCATCGCTTTAGTGCTTTGCACACACTCGCTTCTTAAAGCCACACAGTAATCCCATGAGCTGTCAGTGGCAACCCTGGAAGTTATTCCTGTTTACAGAAGCATGAACGAAGACGCAGAGAGGCCAAGGGACCTGCCCAGTGTAGGTGCAGTGCAGCACGGAATAGCCTTCTTTGGAGCTTGGTCTTCCTCCTGGCCGTGCCCGGCTTGTCCCTTTGGGGCCTGATCGTCCTCCTGGCCATGCCCAGTGTCCCTTTGGGGCCTGGTCTTCCTCCTGGCCGTGCCCAGTGTCCCTTTGGGGCCTGGTCTTCCTCCTGGCCGTGCCCAGAGTGTCCCTTTGGGGCTTGGTCTTCCTCCTGGCCGTGCCCAGCGTGTCCCTTTGGGGCCTGATCTTCCTCCTGGCCGTGCCCAGCGTGTCCCTTTGGGGCCTGGTCTTCCTCCTGGCCGTGCCCAGCGTGTCCCTTTGGGGCCTGGTCTTCCTCCTGGCTGTGCCCAGAGTGTCCCTTTGGGGCCTGGTCTTCCTCCTGGCCATGCCCAGAGTGTCCCTTTGGGGCCTGGGGTCTGTCCTTGCTCCTGGGCATCACTGACTATCCCATACCCACACCAGGGTGACATTCCCTGGCCATCGAGCCCAGCCCCAGACCCAGCCCTGTGAAGGTTGCCTCACTCAGGTAGCTCCCGAGGGGCAGATGTGTCTCTCTTCCTCCTCACCCTGATTAATTGCCTCATTCAGTGCCGACTCCACTGCAGTTAAACATTAATTCAGTAGGACTTAATAGCGTGAATTCATTCACGCCCCTGCCTGTGCCTGGCTGACAGTGCTGTGCTGTGTGGTTAATCACAGGATCCATGCAGCACCCTCTCGCTGGACAGCACCCTCTCGCTGGACAGCACCCCGCACTGCCTCCTTGCTGTTGGGTACATTACACCTTCATCTGTGCCATCTGCCTGGCTGGGTCCAGCCAAAGACATGAAAGCTGGGGGGAGATGTGTAACCAGGTCCGGGCTTTGGGAGCTGCTGGCTTTGGCCCGTCGATCTTGGGGCCAACCTAGGCTCAAGCAGGGATCTGGGTGCAGGGACAGCAGCAGAGGCTGAGCTGGTCAGGTGCTCCCAGGTGGCCCCATGTGACAAGCCACTCTCGAGGCCTGATTGGCCAATGCGCTGATAGTCCGGTGGGATTGCAGTTTCCAACTTGAGGGCCCTGCAGTGCAAAGCAGGAAGAGGCCTTACCAGGGGTCCCCAGAAGTCCCACGATGAGGTCAGACTGGCCTCTGGGTGCTGGCAGGGCTGCCTCCTGTGCTGCCTCCAGGGTGCGCCCTGCTCTGCCCTGCCAGGCTCCCTGTGCGCAGAGGGCACCCTCAGCTCAGTCACAGCTCCTGCCTTGCCGTCTTCCAGCCCTGGTGGTCCCCTCAGTCCTGGCGTGTTCCTCCCCACCTCTGCGTTCCCTGCAGGCACCTGTGTGCTTAGTCTGGGCCCTCCCCTGCCCCACATCCTGGTCTTTGCTTCCTTTGCTCCTGGCTGAGCCTAGGCAGTTCTGTTCCATACTTTCTCTCTAAACACCAAGGCCCTCCCATATCACAGCAGGGAGATGGAGGCCTCCAGGGGCTCAGGACTGCCAGCAAGGCTGGTCTGCATGTTGGGGTCTTGTGGCCCAGCCCTTGGTGAGCTTCACTCCTTTGGCCTCCGGGGCGGGGTGGGCCCACTTCTGATGGAGAATCCTCAATGCCTGTGTGGTGGGCTTGGCTGGGTGGGTGTGGGCGGGGCCAAGGCTCTTCTCCTCTGCCTGTCACCCTAAAGGCCAGACTGGGGGGACCTTCAGAAAGTGCTTAGCCATGGCTGTGCAGCAAGAAGAGGCTCCCACCTTCCTCCTGTGTGGGAAAGGATGCCAACCCTGGGAGTCTCCGCCTGGCCTACCAGAGCAGCACGCAGCTGGGACAGACAGCCTGGGGGAGCCTGTCAGCCTCAGGACCGCCCCCCAGGGGCCCACCTCAGCTGCCCGGCTCCCCCAGGGGTCCCAGGCCAGGACCTGGAGTGTGACTCCCACTCTTGGGGAGTGGCATTTTCTGGCTGCAGAGTGTTTGGCACTGTGCCAGGAGCGCTGTCACTGAAAACTGCAGCTGCGCCGGGCATGGTGGTGGCCATACATTTGAGCGGGTCCACGCAGGAGACGACCGCACGCGCGTCCGACTGGAGCTCACCCTCCTGTGCACTGGGCGGATATTTCCCGCCGTGCCATTCACTCGCTGTGAATGCATCATACTTGCAGTTGCCAGGAAGGGATTTTTTCCCTTTTTTATTTTCTTAGGGGAGATTGCAGTGGTTCCCGTAGCTTTGTGTCCTCAGTAAAAGCTGTGCTTACTGAACGTGGAAAACAGGAGTCTGTTTTTGGGATTGTCACGTCCCCACCCTAACCAGCTGAGCTGACCAAGGGTGCTGGCCTCATGTGTCTAACCCTGAGCGGCTACGGCCCTCCCTGTGCTGCCAGCCCCCAGGCTGTTCTGACCCCAGGGGCTCCCAGGCTCCACCCACCATGAGGCACTGGGGGTCCCAGGTCTCCCAGCCCATGTGGCGCCATCGATCCCCTCAGGGTCACAGGGGACAACGGGGCTGTCCTGGGTGGAAGGATGGCCTCCTTCCTGGTGCAGGGAAGGCTCTGGCTGGCCTTCAGTGTGGGTCTTCGTGGTTGCCCTGGGACCCCATGTCTGCTCTGAGGGTCTGGCCAGTGAGGCCTCCTCTTGGGCTACAGGGCCGGTCTTGCCCCTGCTGCTGGGGAGTCGGCCTGCCAGTGACCCTCTGTGCATCCCCCGCCACCTGGTGCAGCACCAGGCCCAGGCCCAGTTTCCTTCTAACCATCCTGGCCACCTGGACCTGCTGGCACCTCCCTCTCCCACAGCAGCCAGGGCTGCCCCTCCCATGCCCCTGCAGCCTGGCTGCCATTGTGCCCTGGGCAGGTGACACTGGTGGGTGTGGGGCCCTGACTCACTTCTCTCTCTCTGTCCTTGCAGTGTGACAGCGAGAGCGGCCCGGATGACAAGGTAAGCCCAGCATCCTGCCCTCCCCTGCTGACCTTGGCTCTGCTAGGTGGGCCCTGGAGACCAGGCACTGGCGGGATTCTCCCGCCTGGTGAGGTGCACGGGCTTCCCAGGTGTGGGGCACCAGCCTATCCCGGCTGTGGAAGAGCCTGCCCAGGGCTGGGGCTGGTACCATCGCTGGTGGGACGCAGGCCCAGGTCGTCAGTGCTGCCCCAGCTGGGAGGTGCCCTGGGCAGGGCCGCTGTGGGGTTGGGCACTCCAGCTCCTGGGGAGCAGAGGGCAGCTGGGCCTGTGCCCCGAGACTGGCCCCATCCGCCCTAAGGGAATGTGGGCAGAGTCTAGCCCCCACCCTTAACCCGGTAGCCCCCAGAACCATGAGGTAGATGCCCAGCCCATTACTCTGCCACAGGCCCCCTCAGCATTCAGGAGCAGTGAAGCCCCCACTAGTGCAGATTTCTGCAGCCTGAGCAGGGAAGGAAGCCTGGAGCAGCCCCAAGCCGTGTCCTCTCAGAGCCTAGAAGCAGCCTCCATAGGGCTCTTCTGTCCCAGGCAGCTCTGGGTCCAGGCCCTCCCACTTGTCCCAAAGCCATCACCTGCTGTGGCCAAGGAGCCCAGGCCGGGGAGGGTGAGGAGGCTGGGCAGGCGACATAAGGCCCTGGCCCGTGACCACCTACTTCACTGTCTCTTGTGACTGCCAAGGGTCCCTGGGGGCACCTGGATTGGGGTGAGGGCCCTGCCAGATGTGTCGGGGAATGGACATCCCAGCCTCGGGGACGGCCCTGCAGAGGCCCAAGTTGAACCATGTGTGTGCAATGATTCTCTGCCCTGGGGCAGGCTTCCAGGCCCAGGGGAATGGAACGGCTCCACGGGGATCTGTGCAGGGGTTGGGGGCACCCTGGTGGCCCATGTCCCGGCAGGAGCTGTCTGGGCTGTGGGGTCTCACAGCTGAGGGCCTGGTGGGGGTCCAGATGTTGGAGCCAGAGTGGCAGTGGCTGGAGGAGGAGGAGCTGGGCCGTTTGGTTGTGATGCTCCAGGAAGTCACGTGGAAGCTAGAGGCCGGGCTGTGCCGGCTCATTTGGTGGCCATGGCCTGGGACCTGGTGAAGGCACCGTGTGGGCCGCAGTGCTGGGCTCAGCTGTCTGGGATCTGGCTTCCTGAGCTGCTTCCAGCCAGTGTCCCTGCTTGATGTGCCTCTCCTCGCCTGTCCGGGGAAGGTCACTAAGCCCACAGGAGTGGCCTCACCTGGACCCCACGTGGCCTTGATTCGTCCTCAGCCCCAGCCCGCAGCTCCTGCGCCCAACTCTGACAGGGCCAGCATTTCACAGGAGTGACATTCATCCTGATCTCAGCAATGAAATGAGGGCACCTGGGAAACAGCCCAGCACTCACCCCACCTCCCACCTTCTTTCATTTAAAAGCAGTTTTCGGGGAAGACACTCTCCTCAGCCAAGGGCTGCTCCAAAAGAGGCAGGAAGGAGGGGATTCGGGAACCTGGGGGCTGCTGGGGGCTCCCTCTGCTCTCACCACCTGCTTTGCAGAGATGAGGGCAGGTCCAGGAGGAGGAGGTGGTGCTGGCAGAGAAGCTGACAGCTGACCCCATAACCGCACACCCCCACATCCAGCAACCAAGGGCAATGCCAGCCTCTGGGACCCCACCAGTGCCTGTGGGCTGTGCCCACAGTAATTCGACCCAGCTGGAGGACGAGGGGTCCATGGGAGAGCACAGGCTGAAAGAGGGTTCTAGGACGGGGTCAGGTGGCGTCTGCACACTGGGGCGTTTGTCTCTCAGACACCCGAGCAGCCAAGGGGAGAGGACCAGCTCTGAGTCCGGGAGGCCGAGGTCCAGACCAGGGCTGTACACACAAAGGTCCTGGCAGGACGAGGTCAGCATGCAGTGCCGGCAGTGCTGGGGCTTCTCTGGGGCATAGTGGCCACGGGGCCTGAGGAGGACAGCAGGGGCAGGGGAGAGGGGCTGCCAGCCTATGTCCTGGGCAGCATTTCAGGCCATGGTCACTCGGGAGAGCAGAGGGGCCTGGTGGGGTGGGGTGGGGTGGGGAAGGCAGCTCTGCCAGACCCAGTGGCTCCTTCTGGCCGTGGCAAAGTCTGAGGACCGGCGCATGAGGGGCATGTGCTGGCAGAGTGAGCAGGACCCGCCTGCTGCCCCGTGTGCTGCTGTTGGGGGGAAGCTCCCGGGCTGGGCAGAGGAGCCGTGCTTTAAAAAGCCCCCTGGGGTGGGGTGGGCCAGGAAGACCAAGGGGGCCTCTCCTGTTGCCCCATCAGCCTGTCCTCTGTGTGACCCTGGGGTGGGCTCTGAGCTGTGTGTCCCAGGCTATAGTGAGAGGAGGAGCCCAGGGCCAAGGCGGGAGTTTCCATTTCCTTCTGAGTATGTGTGACAGCGCACTGCAGGACGCCTTCGTCTAGGCCTCTCTGCTTCTCCGTGGCATCAATACCCACACCCTGGGCTCGGAAGTTTGCTTCCTGAGTTTGGGAGAGTCAGGAGGGCAGGAGGCCTCAGGTCCCTCCTGGTCTTTGGAGACCGGTGTTGGGTTCAGGTGGTCAGGAGAGGCTGCGCGGAGCCCATCCAGATGCACGCAGAGGCTTAAGCAGGTGTGGGAACTCAGCTGGTGCCCCCTGGTTGTCCCCAGCCCTCCACCCTACCCACTGAGAGCAGAGGCACCCAGACCTCTGTCCCTGTGTGAGCCAGGCACCCCTGCCAGGGAGCAGCTGGGAGGCAGGAGGGATGGAGCCTGCAGGTCTGGATGGCAGGATTCCTGTGTCTGAGACAGGAACGTGGGGCACTTCACTGCCGGCAGTGCCAAGTCCCTCAGCAGCCCCAGACTTGTGTGGAACCTGTCTGTGAACTGGGTGCAGAAAGAAGGCCCCCGAGTGCCCATGTTCACAGGGATCCTTGGAGACCCTCACTCAGAACTGGGGAGCTGATGGCTCATGTGGCCTGGCTGCTCCTGGTGGCGGGAGATGGAGAAGCCACAGACAGCGTTCTGGGTGGGGTCTGTGGGTGCTGACCCAGCAGACGTGCAGGGAACGGCCACAGCCCTACCCACGGAAGCGGATGCCTGGGCAGGTGGCAGTAAACCCCAAGGAAGGCCTCCGGGTCAGAAGGTGCAGGATGAGGGCCTCTGGGATGGAGTGGGGATGGCACGGGAGGAGGGCCTCCTGGGCGGGGTGTGGGGAGGGTGCAGGCCCATCTCGGGTTTGAGCTCTGTTTGGGGTGCCAGCTCCCTCCAGGCCAGCCGCCCCTTGGGGACTCACCCTGGGCTCTGCAGGGTGCTCAAGGTGCAGACACCGGGACTGCCCTCCTCCACATGGACAGGCTGACACCTCCCCACCAACCTCCCTCACACAGTGTAGTTCAGTGCTGCCCTTCCCCGGAGGCTGCCTGCCCCACAAAGCCCCTCCTGGCCCTTGGCAGCTGGTGGGAGGGGCTCGGGAGCAGCGACCACACGGCCCCTTTGCAAGTCTGTGGTTTGTGTCCAACTGCTTTTTTATTGGAAAAGCTTGGGGTGAAGAATGGCCTGGGGCTCACTAAGCAGCCTGCTGGGTCCCGCCAGGTGGTGGCGGGCTTGCTCCTCCTGCCGCCAGTGGCCACTGCGGCTGCCTCCAGGACAGCTGTCTGGCCTGTCTGCAGGAGCCCACCAGGAAGCATCCACGGTGCCGGGCCTTGGCCAAGAGCACCAGCCTGGAAGGTGCAGGGCTCAGGGACGGCGGCATGGGGTCAGCTAGATGTGGGGCAGACCCCACCAGCAGCCCACCATCCATGGTCTTCATGTTCTGTCTGCACAGTGGTGCCACAGTGGGGCCTGGGCAGAGGGGAAAGCTGCCCACCACCCTGAGCACGATCCTCATCAGGCTGGTGGAAGTCATGGAGCAGGAGGTCCAGGATGGGTCTCACCGGGCTGGTGGAAGTCATGGAGCTGGAAGTCCAGGATGGGTCTCACCGGGTGTGGTGGAGTAGGAGGTCAGGATGGGTCTCACCGGGCTGGTGGAAGTCATGGAGCAGGAGGTCCAGGATGGGTCTCACCGGGCTGGTGGAAGTCATGGAGCAGGAGGTCCAGGATGGGTCTCACCGGGTGTGGTGGAGTAGGAGGTCAGGATGGGTCTCACCGGGCTGGTGGAAGTCATGGAGCAGGAGGTCCAGGATGGGTCTCACCGGGCTGGTGGAAGTCATGGAGCTGGAGGTCCAGGATGGGTCTCACCGGGCTGGTGGAAGTCATGGAGCTGGAAGTCCAGGATGGGTCTCACCGGGCTGGTGGAAGTCATGGAGCCGAGGTCAGGATGGGTCTCACCGGGCTGGTGGAAGTCATGGAGCAGGAGGTCCAGGATGGGTCTCACCGGGTTGGTGGAAGTCATGGAGCTGGAAGTCCAGGATGGGTCTCACCGGGCTGGTGGAAGTCATGGAGCAGAAGGTCCAGGATGGGTCTCACCGGGCTGGTGGAAGTCACGGAGCTGGAAGTCCAGGATGGGTCTCACCGGGTTGTGGTGGAGTAGGAGGTCCAGGATGGGTCTCACCAGGCTGGTGGAAGTCATGGAGCCGAGGTCAGGATGGGTCTCACCGGGCTGGTGGAAGTCATGGAGCCGAGGTCAGGATGGGTCTCACCAGGCTGGTGGAAGTCATGGAGCAGGAGGTCCAGGATGGGTCACACCGGGCTGGTGGAAGTCATGGAGCAGGAGGTCCAGGATGGGTCTCACCGGACTGGTGGAAGTCATGGAGCTGAGGTCAGGATGGGTCTCACCGGGCTGGTGGAAGTCATGGAGCAGGAGGTCCAGGATGGGTCTCACCGGGCTGGTGGAAGTCATGGAGCTGGAGGTCCAGGATGAATCTCACCGGGCTGGTGGAAGTCATGGATCTGGAAGTCCAGGATGGGTCTCACTGGGCTGGTGGAAGTCATGGAGAAGGAGGTCCAGGATGAATCTCACCGGGCTGGTGGTTGTGGAGGAGCTGGAGGTCCAGGAGGGGTCACACCGGGCTGGTGGAAGTCATGGAG